GTGTGTGTGTGTGTGTGTGTGTGTGTGTGTGTGTGTGTGTGTGTGTGTGTAGACCAGGAAATTCAATCATGGCACTGGTGTATTTGATTGCTAGAGTCCTCCCAATTTCTGGTACATAGAAAATACCTTGAGTGTTCACATGAAGGGATAGAATTTTCTTGGGTTTACTTTATAAGGTCAAAGTCCATTTATGAGGGCAGAACCCTCATGACATAATCAACCTCTAAGGCTAATACTTCGAACCATCTCCTTGGTGATCCTATCTGAGGGATACCCGAACATGCAGACCACAGTCGGAATCACCTGACAGTCAAGGAGCCTCCCAGCTCGAAACCCCTGCTCTTCTGACTGAAGATGGACAGTGAGGGGGATAGGCCATTCTACAAACGTTGCTACAGCAGTCCCTCTATTCCAGTGTTCACACACCATTCCTCACATCAACAGGTGGAGTCTTTTTCCCTGTCTCTGGATCTGAATTGGACCCGTAGTTTGCTCTTCCCCATAGTACATAACAGAAGTGGTGATGGATGACAGGACTAGACCTTGAGAAACCACACTGCCTTGATTTCTTACTCCATAGAAAGGCAGGAATAAGGCTCTCCTATTGGAGAGATTGCACAGCTAGAGGTCCCAGAGTATGAAACAACAGCCCCAGCCAATAGCTGTAACCAACAGCAAGAATTGTGAGCCATACTCTCATGGACCAGCTAAGCTCCCAGCTGGCAGAAACAATGTGGGTGACTGGACAGCACATGGAGTAGAACTACTCAATGAACACAGAAGATACACAAAATCAATCTGGGGAGACGTCTCAGAGGGAAAGTGCTTGCAACATAAATACGAGGACCTGAATTTGGAGCCTTGGCATCCATATAGAAAACCCAAGTGCAGCAGTGTGCATCTGTAATCTCAGTGCTAGGGATGCAGAAACAAGGAGATGCCTGGGCTGCTGTCCATCCATCTAATCTTGCTGAATTGGTGAGCTTCAGGTTCAGGAAGAGACTTTATCTCAAAAAAAATGAGGTGGAAAGTACGAGGAAGAAACTCTGTCAATATCTGGCCTCCACAAGAACATGTACACACACACAAACACACACACACACACACACACACACACACACACACACACACACACACACACACACACCTTGAGAGATAGTAAGCCATTGTTTTAACCCACTAATTTTTGGTGTTGCTATTTTACACAGAAAAGAATCATTGACATGCCAAACAACTGAGGTTAACTAGCCAAGTGTTTTACATTTTTAAATCCCTAAAACGTATCACAACTTCTGGCTCATGAGAACTACCAACTGCACATCAGTGCAATTCTCTTCCTGTTTCTGTGATGCACAAGGAAGTGAATGACATCAACTCCATGGGTAGATATCTATCTCCAGTTAGGTACCAGGACTCCCCTGCCACTCCAAGTCTACTGCTGCTGGGTAGAAACATACTGAACCCATTTTTATGTGGCTGTGATGTACATGTGTTTAGGACTTATCCTTGAGTAAGACTGACTTCCTCCTCTCAGCAGCCATTGATTGTATTTCAGACTTATAGAAGAGTTTCAAAGTCTCCATGAAAACACCCATGCATCCTCTGTCCCAGTGTCAGTATTTTCTTATATGTACTTTATCATCTATGGACTCACAGACATTTCTCAAGCTTAGTACTATTTATATTTTGGACCAGATAACTCTAATACATTGTACGATGTTCAGCAGCACCTATGGCCTCAAACCAACAAATGTTAGAATTTTGTCATAATACCTCCCCCACCCAAGTTGTGAAGACCCAGAATAGCATGAGACACTGCCAAACTTCCTCCATAGGAGGTTGTTTGAGGTCTATTATTCAGTTAATTGACCAACCAATTATTCATTTAATTGACCTACCTATCTATATTCTGACATAAACAGCTCTTTTCCTCCCTGCTGGCCAAATGTCAAATAATGAGGACCAGTAAAAACACAGCACCATCCTCCAAGCCAAAGGACCACCATCTTCATGAGTTGGTCTGTGCCTGGTTGCAAAAGCTCCTCACAGTTGGGTTTCTTTACTGTTGACATTCCCTCACAGGGGTGGGGAAGGGTCTGGGGATCCTCACTGGAGTGATGTAACTGTCTCAGTCAAGTTTCTGTTGCTGTGACAAACACCATAACCAAAAGCAACTTATGGAGAAAAGAGTTTATTTCAGCTTACAATTTAAAGTCCACCACTGAAGCTAGGCAGGAATCTAGAGGCAGGAACTGAAGTAGACCACTGAAGAACTCTGCTTATTGGCTTGCTCTCCATGGCCTGCTCAGCCTGCCTTATTATATACCCTGGGCCATTTTCCTAGGGGCATCACTGCCCAAAGTGAGCTGGGCCTTCCCACATCAATCATTAACAACATCATCATCATCATCATCAACAACAACAACAACAACAACAATAATAAATGTCCGACAGACTTGACTATAGGCAATCTAGTGACAGCACTCCCTCAATAAAGTTCCCCTTTCCAAATGACTCTAGTTTGTATCAACTTTACAAAAAAAATTAATGACACCAACCACTCCTCCCAACCAGTTTTATGCAATTCTGCCCTAATTGAATGTAGCTTTGGGACCTTGAGGCAGGGCTAGAGTATATAGGCTGGGATGACTAGGGGAAAGGGACTTCATGAAGAAGCCACCATCTATGCTGGGTTTCTACTTTGAGTGTGGCTGCTTTAGAGACACCCCTATTCCTGCCCCAAATGACCCCTCACCCATTCTCTGTAAGTAAACCCAAAAAACTTACTGGTTCCCTAGGAGTAGCTTTGGTGGAACTGAACTTTTATTTGTCATTGGGACCTTAGAAGGAGAGGGCTGACATTGCTTAGTCTCCCTCAAAGGGAGAAAAGTCTTGCAATAGATGTCAATTGTACTTGTTCTCACCAACATCATACTTTTATTAATTATTTGTAAATTTTGTATAATGCACCCCGATCACATTTGCTTCCTATTTCCCCTAGGTCTACCTTCCCACTTTTGTGCCCCCACCAAAGAAAAATACACCAAGTCCAATTGTGTTGCCCAAACAATGGAGCATGGTCAAACTCCCGGCGTCTAGCCTTTCCCATCCCCATCCCATATCTGCCAGAAGCCATTAACTGGGAAGAACTACACTTCAGCATCTTTATCTCAACTTTTAAGGACTCTCTTCAGTAGAGAAAAAGAAACAATCCTTCTAAATGTACTTTTTATAGTTATCTTAAACTTTCTCTATTTTCAAAATTAGATAATTTACAAAATCAGTACCTACATTTTTGTAATAAATAAAAATTAGGGAAAGGCAAACATCTCATTCCAATGATTCCAGAAATTATCACTTATTTGAACATAACCGGTTCTGGGAGAAGTACATGGAAGTGAATGCCAAGGCTTCACACAAGCAGAGACATGGTCACACAAAATATC